ACAGGGTTTCCGAGGGTGTAAATCCTTACGGGAGTAGAAAGCCTCATCTTTCTCCCGTGGAGCGGCTGGTAGTTTCAAACTGCTGACCTTAAGGTTCACAGCCCGATTCGTAACCACTACGCTACCAGAGCCCTCTTCACCTAGTTGTTGTTAAATTCTTACAAGTAGGATATGACTCATAGGGAGTATATGGTTTCTGAGGAGCAGCTGGTGAGTTTGAACTGCCAACCTTGCAGTTCAAACTGAACTCATAGTTGAGTGCTAATACTACAGTTCCACACCAGGACTCCCTTTACCTAATACTTATTCCTCAGACTTCAGCTAAAGGACTCCTTCTTCAGGATGGATTTCTTTGCCCCCTCACCCTCAAATAGATCAAATTTCCCTGTTGTAAGATTGTTGCCTTCGTCATGTCATCATCTTTGTCACAAGTTGCAAGTTTATATTTGCTTGAATTCTTTAATTAATGTCCATCTTCTCACCCTCCATAAAATCAGCAACTTTATCATTGGTCCCCAGTGAGTGCCTCAGTGAGCGCGATGCACAGTCAAGTCCAGAGAGTACTAGAACTATGACAGAGTAAAGTAAGTAAACAAGATGAAGAGATCTCAAAGTAGAGGTGTCAAATCGTTTAAGTATTGAATGAAAGTGTCAATAAATGAGTCAACTGTGATTTGGGGACCTTCTGAGAAAAAGACTTTAAACATGAATTACATATCAGTTTTTCTTGTTATCAAAACAGTCAAGTTAGGATAACCTCTACTGTTGAGTGAGAATTAGGAAGGGCTACAAAATGCTCCCTTTTAAGGAGACAAATGCAAGTCCATTACAATTCCCCATGAAATCAGCCAATGTTATAGCAAGAAAGCAAATCTCTTCTGACAAGGAGTCAAGCAGTGATCAGGTGCAGTTACCATAATAGAAGAATGGATTCAAGTACAGATGCTATACAATGGGACTCTCATTGGGATGATTTTGATGAAGACGTTATTTTATGCAGTGGACTAAAAATAAGAATGTAAGTATGATCCATGTTATTGTAGGAAGTGTCAGACATTTAGCACACAGTTGCAGTAACACGTCACCTCTCGCTTAGATCATCAGTGGAGAGGAAGGAAAGCAGTGGGGTGATCTGTCATTTCAAATCCTGACTCCATCGGGGCCTCAGCAAGGCGATAGAAACACTCCAGGAATAAGACACCAGAAATGAAAGTGTGAAGGCTCAGAGGTCATCAGAATAGAAACCTTTAGCAGTTACATAGAAATTTTGGACTGAACAACTTCTATTCCCAAGAAGCCAGGCACAAGTCAGCTTTCAAAAATATCTCTGATAAGTAATCAAAATGGAAGTTCGGTCTGGCCTAATTAGCTTGCTTACTGAGTTTAAAGCCAGAAAAGATCCTGGGTCACAAACTGTGTTTTTCACCCTGTTGTTGTGAGGTGCTGTGGAGTTAGTTCCGACTCATAGTGACTCTCTGCACAACAGAATTCCTGTCCCTCACCATCCTCATGATCATTGCTGTGTGTGATCCCAGTGTTGTCATTGCTGTGTCAGCCCACCTTGGTAAGGGCCTTCCTCTTTTTCACTGACCATCTACTTTACCAAGCATAATGTTCTTCTTTAGAGGCTGATCTCTTTTGATAACATGTCCAAAGTATGTATCCTGACTGTACTTCTTCAAAGACAGATTTGCTTTATCTTTTGGCAATCCATGGTATATTCAATATTCTTTGCCAACACTGTAATTCAAAGACACAGTTCCTCAATCTTCCTTACTAATTTTCATGTATATAAGACAATTGTAAATACCATGGTTGTACAGTTATTGTTTAAGTGCTAATGAGTCGGTTCTGACCCATAACAACCCTGTATACGATTTTCCGGGAGCAGCTGGTGAGCTTGAAGTGCCAACCTTGTGGTTCAAACTGATTTTGTAGTCCAGTGCATTAACCCCCAGCGCCACACCAGGACTCAATATGGGTTGTGTTAGGCATACCTTATTAATAAAGTAGAAAGCTGCTGGTTTTTAAAAAATGCATTAATATAGTCAATTTTAGTGTATCTATCTAAAATCTCAGGTCCTTTGTCAGTCACAGTGTTGAATAGTGATCTCTAAGCTCCTCTATAAGGTGGCAGTTTAGGAGATAAATAGCCAAACCACTAGTGCCAAGAAAGGAAGTCTGCAGCAGATCTTCAAACCTGCAGTTACCCATTCTCATATCCGTAGTGGTGTGGTGCTAAGAGTTGGAACTGACAGCAGTTAACAACAACGAGGCGGTTAATGTATAAAAATGGTAAAGGTTCAAGTTTGAGTGGCTTTTTAAGTAGCATCCAGACGGCTTCAATTCTGATTGGCTACAAAGTACAGGATGCCAACTGCATACGTTATTAGCTGTTGACCCGTCAGCATGAGTACAAGAGACTTACGGCAGCCTTATACACAACGGAACAAAATGTTGCCTGGCCGTGCGTCATCCCCATGCTTAATTAGATGGACCCATTGATCTACAGGGTTTTCATGATCTGATTTTACCAGGCCTTTCGTACTAGTTCATCTTAGTCTAGAACCTCCGCTGAGACCTGATTGGCCTTATAGCAGCACACAAGCCTCACTGACAGACGGGTAGTGGCCGTGCATGTGTTGTGTTGATTGGGAATCGAACTTGAGTCTTCTGGGTGGAAGGTGAGGATTCTACCGTTGAGCCCTCAGCCTGCCTTTCTAAGACCTAAAAGTGCCTTTTTCCAGGTTCTGACAGCAGTATCCACTCCCTGCCGTAGAGGTAGGATGTGTGTTGGGGTGTGTGGGGTAGCTCAATAGTTAACATTTGATGGATTACAAGGCTGGTCTGGTGATTTACGTAATTTGGTAGCACTCCTTCTAGAACAGCCAGCAGGAAACCCAAACCCCTGAGGGGCTCTGTGGAAGCCCCAGGCTCCCTAAGAACCTCAGAGCTAGGGAAGTAATGGGCTGAGCCTATGTCCCCAGAATCAGCCTTACTCTCTGTCCCAGTTATCATATCATCCCAAAACTTAGTGCGTTTTCACAATATGGGGTGACTTTGCATTCTCATTTGGGGTCTCCTGTAATTGCAGTCAGGTTAGCAGGGACTGGTGTCATCTGAAAACTCTTCTATTCCTGTGTCTGGTGATTGGGCTGGGTTTGAATAGCCAGGGGCTGGTGGAGCATCTCTCATTCCCCTAAGGCTTCAAGGTGGTGGCTTTCTCCACAGAAGAGTTCCAAGGGACATGAAGTAGAAGCTGCCAGGACAAAGGTCCTGAAACTCAAGCAATCAGAGCCTGCCTAGTTTTAAGGGGAGGAGACATAAACCTCCTCAAGGCATTAATGACAAAGATGTAACCATCTTTAATTCTCTACATCCTCCAACCAGAGGACTTGTTCTTAGTCCATCACTTTCCTAGTGTGGAGCCCTGGTGTGGTGGTGTAGATTAAGCACAGAATTGCTATCACAAGATCAGCAATTCAAATCCACCAGCCTCTCCTTAGAAACCCTATACTAGTAGTTTGCTGTGAGTTGGAACCAACTTGATGGCACTTAACAACAACGTCCTAGTGTGGCCTCATGATGGAATTCTCTGTAATCTTTTAACATACAGCTCTCTCATACAGCTCTTTTAACCAGGGCTTCAAACTGGTTCATTCTGGTTCCACCCCTGTTGAGGAATTGTATAAAGTGAATCTGAAACTACACTTTTAAAATTTTATTTTTTATTATGTTGTTGTTGTTGTTGTTAAGTACCATCAAGTCAGTTTTGACTTATAGTGACCCTGTATAAGGTTTCCAAGGAGCGGCTGGTGAGTTTCAACCGCCGACCTTGTGGTTCAAACTGACCTTGTGGTCTAGTGTTTTATCCCACAACATCATAAAGATGCTTCAACATATTCAACAGGAATAAGGACAAGATGAAACAAACACAGATCACTGGTGAGGGAAACCACTGATATGAAGCCAGGCTGAGAATCTTAGAGACAATCTGTAAGCATTCCTGTCTGCAGTTGTCCCTTCCCAGCTGAAGTCAGTCATGGTTGTGGGAGGAGATCACTTTGTTCTCAGTGTCCTATCAAAGGTCACCACCTGAGGTGGAACCTACATTTGAACAAGATCTATCAGAATCCCCGGGGAATTTTGTTAAACTGTAGACTCTGATTCAGTGTATCTGGGGTGGAAAGGCAAATTCTCAGCAGGGGGCTGAACCAGAATGAACCAGTTGGAAGCTCTTCTTTTAGCATGAACAGGACAGTTCAGGTACAATTTGTCCTCAGAACATCTCAGAGAGAGCTAGCTGGTTAATCAGCGAGACACCGGTTATAATTCTAGAGCCACACAACTGAAGGACAGAATTCAGACTGAAATAAGAGTCTCGTGAACATCAGAGTTTCCAGTAGGTTGGTTGGTTTTCTGTGTAACCAGGCTACTCTATTCAGGATACTGATAGAACTATAGAACCAGAAAACACATTTTCTTTCGCTGAAAGCTTCACCACAGATCTTTGATGGTGAAGTTCAAAGTGAAGTTAACATGGCTTTAAGAGCCCCATGTCATCAGTAAGGTCTCTTGAAGCCACTGTACTGGCCTTCACTCTTGGGAAACTCTTTCCGGATCTTCCAGCGGCAGCAGCTGGGCACAATGGCAAAGTCAGCCATGTCTTGGGAGCCAAAGCGCCAGGTGGTATAGCACCGGTAGGCAGAGTGCCGCAGCCGGCTGTTGGTGCCCTCCGGATCCAGTTCCAGCAAGGGCTCTTGGTAGACCAGGAGGAACTGCAGGGTGCGTCTGGACAGGACGAGCTTCTGGAATGGGTCTGAGGTGGTGATGCAGGTACCTGGCTTCTTCCGGCAGCACAGCTCTTCCAAGCACCTGGAAGTTGGGTCAGAGAGCTGGGATGGGAGGCAGTTTCCGCACTGGCACCAGCTCGGGCTGGCCTTGGACCCAGCTGCCACCTGTTCACTAAGCGGCTGCATTTCCCCTAGTTGTCCCGGATTTGGGGCCCGGTCACGCAGAGGCAGCTTGGACAGGTCTATGAAGTCCATTGTGGGTCTCTGAAAAAGTTATTTACAAAGCCATCAGCAGTGGCAACCCATAGGATTCTAACTTCTTTAATTTTAGGATGAATTTCTATAGTTACATTTAATCTTACATTAATAATAATACTATATTTTTAATATGCAAGTAATGTGCACACTATACAATTTTGCAAACCATGCAGCTTCCACCTATTTTAATTCCTGTACATGCTATGCATATTATATAGGTGAGCACATTATTTGCAAAAATACAACTGTTGTTATTTATTAAATACATCAGACTGTGTGAATGCTTTAAAAACTAGCACTGCCTTATGTAAGCCTTCTGAGAACCACATGAGATACGCATCATTATCTCTGGTTTACAGATTTGGAAAGTGAATTTCAGAAAAGCTTGACCTCAATTCAAAGATCATCTCTTCAGAGAGGCCTTCTGTCCCTGACCACCCAGTCTAGGTGGCACCCCCCACCCCAAATCCAAGGACACCCTCATCACATTGTCATTGCCTGTGTTCTGTATTGTACTGATCACTATCAGAAATTATCTTAATCATTGTTCATTTGATTCTTCTTCTTCCTGGTGTGCTGCTATGGATTAATGCACTGGACTACAAGGTTGGAGGCTCAAGTTCAGCAGCCACTTCTCAGACACCCTATACAGGGTGGCTATGAGTCGTAATTGACTCGCTAGCACTTAACAACAACAACATATGAAGGCAGGGACCCCATCTCCTTTGCTTATTGTCATATCCCCAATATCTAGGGCAGTGCAAAAGTCAGTGCCCAACACACAAAACCTGTTGTTGTCAATTCCAGCTCCTGGTGACCCCATAAGTGACAGAGTGTAATTGTGCTCCATAGGCTTTTCCAGATGGTAATCCTAACAGACGAGACTAGGATATATGTTTGGTAAAGTGGAGGGGTGAGGAAAAAGAGGAAGACCCCAGCTACGTGGATTGGCACAGTGGCAGCAGCAATGGACTCATACATAGCAATGATTATGAGGTTGGCAAAGGACCAAGCAGTGTTTCATACAAGTCACTACTGACTCGATGGCACTTAACAACAACAACAATTCTAACAGAAATATATTACCAAGCGTGCCTTTTGTGGGATCCCTGAGTGAGTTAGAACCACCCTTTAGATTGGGAGTCAAGTGCAGACCATGTGCACCACCTAGGGACATGTCCAGCTCATGACCAACCAGTTGCTGTTGAGTGGACACTGACTCATGGTAAATCCACATGTGTCAGGAGTAGAACTGCACTTCACTGGGTTTTCAATGGCTAGTTGTTCAGGACTAGATCTTCCAGTCAATAGTAAATGCTTATTGTCTTAGCTCCACGCTCTCCACCAGCCTCCTCTGCTGGAAAATCTGCGTGTTAGCCTCCAAGAGACATTGACACAGTTGCCATAATTTATGTTTTCTCTTTGTCTAGTTTTCTTTTTTAAAAAAAAAAACTGAAAGGATTGAATGCTTTCACTTACTGGGACAGTTTTACCCTGGACATCCTGCAGGCTTTTCCCAAGCAGCTGCTGGTCCACCTTCCTAATGTAAGGTTCATCCACAAATGACACGAACTTTAATGTCTAGGAGAAGAAAAGGTTAAAACACTTATCCATTTTATATGGGATTGCCAAGAACTGCAGATAAGAAAATGTCTAGATGTTTTGTAGCAAGGAAGAGAGCGATTATTTCTCCAGTCTGGGAGCGGAGGTATCTGGGACCACCAATGGATAAGAGCCGAGAATGGAACCCCACCCAGAGAACCAGGGATGCCTGAGATGGAGACAGAGATGACGACATGGAGGGATGAAGCGGCTGGGGACTTTGGATCCAGAGAGGGAGAAGAACTGTGGGCCGAAGACTGAGGGGGGAGGGGGAAGCGTAGAGCACAGGCTTCTAGGATATGCCCTTTGGTCAGAAGACGATGCATGGAGGGGATTGGAACCATGGCAATGTAATGATATTCGATGGAATGAATATGGAACTGAGGTTCTCTCATGTAAACTATCATATAACTCACAAAACATGAAAAAAACAATAACAAGTTGTTCCATGGGGGTGGGGTGGGGGACCCTCAAAGCAATTGGCTTGGTCCCCTCAGGGCAAACTCCCTTCCAAGACTGAGACTCAAGGTGAATACACAAGCAGGCATATGGTCTTTCTGGTGACCACAATGGTCTACCGATAAGAGGAAGTTGGGGGAAAACAGCAATTAAGTTGTGAGTTAAGTCTGACCACATTCAATAGACTCCTGTCAACTCTGGTTGAGACCTGATTGGCCAGCAGTATGGTGAGACCTGAGGACTCCTGGGACCTGAGACAGGGACATCACCTCAGAGGACCAGAGCAGACAGTGAAGCATCCAGCTGATATGAAGTGAGGAAAGATGCACAAGAACACTCAAGTAAGGAAAGATGCACAAGAACACTCATATTATCCACCTGACCTGGCTTCAATGGCTGGATGATCAGAACTAGACTAGAAGAAGAAAGAAGAGGAAAAAAAGAGTAATCCACTATAACTTGATGACTTTGACCTATACTTATGGATATAGTAGCTCGAAAGAGGGAACAAATCTTTGCAACAGGATCATTCCCACCCCAGGGTTGACAGGGATGGGCAATTTAGACATTGGCTACCCTAAATGGGGGAGCTACAAAGGCATGGAGTGACTGGCTTACAAGGTTTCAAGAGGGAGTCTAGTTTCAAAGGGCATGGGGAAAGATAGAATCTCCACTGAGTGGTTTCCAACCTGTCTGGACGGGACTGGTGAAAGGAGATGGAAATAAGACTCTTGTGGTTCAATAGTGAATAATTGTTATCAGGGCTGATTGTTAGCGTTGCAAATGTAAAGATGGATGTTTTGTAATGAAAGGAGAGGAGTGGTTGATCTTGCAGTCCAGGAGCAAAGGATCCTGGAACCATCGAGGGAGAAGAGTGGAGTGTGGGACCCTATCCAGAGAAGCAGTGACTGCCAGAGATGGTGGCAGAGATGATAATGTGGAGAGATGGAGCAGCTAGGGACCCTGGACTCAGGGAGGGAGAGGGGCTGTGTACTGACTGCTGGGGGTCAGGCTTACAGGGTGTATCCTTTGGTTGTTTGAATAGTTATATATTTCTGAGTGCTTCAGTGTACATAAAATAAATAAATAAAACAGAGGGAATGGAAGCAAAAAAAAAAAGAAAAGAATCTGGATATATCTAAAGATAACTGCCATTTCCATTTAACACGTGACACACGTTTAACCAAGTTAACCAATAATTAATCATTTCAGAGTCTAAAGGTAAATCAGAAATGGATCCCAATGCACTTTATTTTTAGAGCAGCTGGGATTTATAGGACAATTCCACAGGAAGGATAGATACTTCCTGGATCACCTGAACTAGATTTAGAGTGTCCACAGCTGACAGCCTAAAGTCTCCCAAGTACATGTAACGTTTCTCAGTTTGTTCCTTTAGATTGAATAGCTCAGGAACGTTATTCTATTACCACTTAAATCATGGTTTGGTTTTTTTCGTTGTTGTTCAGTTTCAGCCCATCTGGGGCATGAACTAGGGATTATTTTTGGCTGCAAAGATGACCTTTTATTTCAAATTGTATATACTCAGACAATGGACAGTGAATTGTGCATTCAGCTGCTGAGAAAGACAGGATAGTAATGCTTTGGGATGTGAGGATGACAAGCCCTCTTTGTTGTTCTTAAGTTCCACATATTTATTTCTCTTTGAAAGGGGGAATCATGATGCTGAATACAGAAGACCTGCTTAGTAAAATCCATTTTAATTCCCCTAATCAAAATATGACCTTGAATTTATCCCACTTGAATTTAGAGATCATCTGAAGAACAGATTGGATGCATTAAACACTAAAGACCAAAGACCAGAAGAGTTGTGGGATTACATCATGAACATCATACATGAAGAAAGCAAAAAGTCATTAAGAAGACAAGAAAGAAAGAAAAGGTCAAAATGGATGTCAGAGGAGACTCTGAAACTTGCTCTCCAGCGTAGAGAAGCTAAAGCAAAT